AGGGAGGGCCTCTGAGGGATATTTTTATATAATAAAGAGTCCAAATTGGCAGTTACTTTCTTTCTCCGGGCGTTTTCCTGTCCCTTTGGCTGCAGCAGTTCTGGTGAGAGTCAGCTTCCAACTGCCTGTTAATTTTTGCAGGTCACGGTGTCAAGTTTGCTAGCTGCTTTTAAACTTCCACATGTTTGTGAGATCTGTAGCACTTTTGCTGTAGACATATAGCATAGCTTTGCTTTGTGCTTACCCTGCGTTGGATATTTGGAGTTTCTTGAATATTTGCCTCATGTTTTGAATTACTTTGGCAAAGCTCCTGGCCGCGACCTGTTCTGGCGCTGCCTTTGCACTGTGCGCTCTGCTTCCTTCTGAACTTCAGGTCCCGTGTGCGCCGCCTCCGCGCTGTGCCCTGGTCTCTCCTGCCTCTGCTTCTGCTCCCCACTTCGCTACTTGGCTCCTTTGCTCTCTTTGACCCTTATTCAATTCGTGTAATGAGATCTTAATTTTAGAGCCTATACTTTTCAGTTTTAGAATTTTTGCTTCTGTTGTATCGACTTGCTTGCCTACTACATTTTTCCATCTTCATGTCTGTTTTTGCCTCTATTTTCCATGTTCCCGTTTTTCCATTTTCTCCATCTCCCCTTCAGGATATAACAAGCACACTGACTTTGAGAGTGTTGTTCGCTCCTGATAGTATCTTGAACTGTGGGCGTGTTTCTGTGGTTTTCCTTCCTCTTTGATGTGGTCTGGTCTTTTCCCACATTTAATAAGTTTTGTTTGCGTGTAGAACTGTGCATTATGTAAAATGTTATCAGTGTCTCCAAGTTCTGTTCATTTCTTCTGACAGCTGCTGAACACTCGGTGTGACAGCAGGTTCTCATGCCAGTGTTCAGCCCCGGCCCCAGCAGCTCTAGGAGCTGGCCGCTGGGGTGTGGCTATTACTTGCATCTCCTCAGCCTTGATGGAGTCTGCCCAGCCTCGTGCTCCTCTTCACCTGCAATCAGAGCTTCTCGACTCCTTCATTTTAATTGCGTGGTACATCACTTGCGCAAACTCACAAAATAGATACCTGAGAGTATAGCTTCCCTTTGCTTTGTAGTGGAAACTGTTGCTTTATAGTGCAACTCATTTAAATAAATGATTACCTCCAGGGTAATTAATTATCACTTAGTTTATAAAATTTTCCGTTGTATACAAGTTTTCAGGTATGGTCTACTTTTAATCAGGCAGACAGCTAGCGTGTATTAATAAAACATCTGAGTTGCAACTTTTTGAAATGCAAATTTACTTTTTAGTAACAACAACTTGAAGTTAGCTGCTAATAAGTAATTTATAGATGAAACTTATTTGCAATTAGCAAAATAAATTTGCATGCATGTAACCGATGCGTAACTGCCTTATTATCTGTTTATTGATTTTGCTCCACCTCTCAAGAGTTTTTCTGTTACCATCAATTCTGTGATGAGTTTGTAGAGTAATGTTCCTCTGCAGTAAGGTCATTGAGCATTTATTATTGTAGTGTCATTTTCAGACGGTTGTCAGTGCACGTTAAATTTGGGCAAACTAAGTGTCTGTGAATGTCAACTTCGTGACTTTATGGGCTTAAAAGTCCCTGGCAGGAAATAACACCCGAACGCTCATCGTGTCTCGTGGGGAGAACTGAAGCTGGCTTCCCGATCCTCCCTGCCCCGTCCTCTTCCCCGCTTCCTCTCTCCCTATTTCTCGTGTCCAGATTTAGAAAGTGCATGTTCCCATGAAAAGCGCCCCGGCGCCCCCTGACAAGCTGACCTGTCGGCAGCGCCCCGCTGACACGGTTGGGAAGTGGGGGTTCGGTGCGGCCCCCACAGTGCGTGTTCCTTCGCAGGTTGTATGAGAACAAGGGGGAGGCCGCCTTCGTGGAGTCGCTGGTGCAGCTCTTCCAGTCCGTCAGCACCATGATGAGCAGCGCGTCGGACCAGACCGTCAGGGTGAAGGTAGGGCCCGCAGGGCCGGCGTGGAGTCCGTCGGCTGCCTGGCCGCGGGCGTGGGGCCAGGCTGGCTGTGCGCAGTCACGCGCCCGCGCCGGGCTCCTCTTCCACTGCCTGCGGGCGCCTGAGGTGCCGCCCCGTCTTGGCGCTCAGCTCGGCCTGGACAGGCCAGGCGGGGTGTGGCGCTGGGCCCGCAAGTGGCGGCTGAGCGGCCAAGCCCGAGGCCGTGCCGGGCGCCAGGCAGACTGTGCGGGAGGTGTCGCCCGTCCTCGGGAGGGCAGGGAAGGAGGGCTCTGCCTTCTGCTGTTCTCTCCACTTGCCATCTCCTTCTCGTGCGCTTCTGCTGTAGGAAGGAAACACCCTCCCGAGAGGGGCGCCGGGACGCGGGGCATGAGCGTGCCCGAGCTGCACGCTCCAGGACCTCCCGGTTCTGGAAGTTTCTTGGGGCTGACTTGCAGCAGGACAGTTTGTAGTTGCACTTTTCCTCCAAGGGGCAGGCGTCTTCCAGAAGTTGCTGCGGCTTCCCGTGGCTGCTCCTCGTGGGCTCTGGCCCGCCCTTCTTCCTTCACTGTTTCAGTCTGGAAAGCTCTTTCTGGCTAGTGTCTCGAAGCTGTTTTGGGAATGTGTCAGCTTCCGAGCTGCGCCTAGGAGGCGCATAGCCTCGGCGGTGCCCTGTGGCCGCCACGACCCAGGGGACGGCCTCCCTGAGCAGGACTGAGGTCCTCATGTCCTTTCGACTGGGGGGGCCACTCTGGCCACTTGGCTTCTGCAGGCTCACTCCCGCTTTTCCTGGGAATCTGCCCTGCAAGTCTGTTCAGAGAAAGCGACGGGCTGTGTTTATTGAAGTTTCAGGTTAATTTTTCTGGCAACTTGACATTTCCTGAAGCCACCTTCATGTTGCAGGTTAAAATTAGCCCTGCGTTCAGTGTGCTCGCTGCTAACTCCGGTGGCATTTAGAAAACAGACGCATGTAGTATAAGAATAGATAGAAATGACAGGAAGTTTGGCGCCCAGGAGGAATTCTAGATTTCTAAATATATTCTGGCATTATTAAAGTTGGCTGGCTTCACTCGTGTCTGCCTCCCTCCCTCGGCGGCACGTCTCTGGGTGGTGGGAGACTTGGCTGGGCCCCCCAGAGCCCCCCACCGGTGGCATCTCCTTTTACGACCTGGGCTTTGGGGTGTGAGCCCCGTGCCGACTGGCCGGGGAATTGGCGCCTCCGCGCTGCCGGCAAGGTGTCGGCCTGTTCCTTCGCACCGGGTGCCCTGCAGCCTCGAGACGGTGGATGCGTCGCGGGGGCCTGCTGTCTGCCATTATAACACTTGGGATTTTGCTATCGACGTGGAGATGCAGTTGAGGATCATTTTCATGGGGTAAACAGGAGAAAAGACTGGCCTTCCGTTGGGTACTGTGCTGTTGCCCAAGCGTGGCCCCGTGCAGGGGGCTTCATGTTGGCTGGGTCACGGTGGCTGTCACTCTGTTCACGATCTTGAAACCTGGGTGTCACTGCCAGGCGGGTGACTCAGCGTGTGCTTGTGACGTGTTTGGAGAGCGCGAGGGTTGAGCTCTGGACATCGCCAGAGCTCATCTGGGGCCGGTGCAGGCCGAGGCCGGAGGACGGAGAGGCCCCCTGTCTGCGGGGAGGACGGAGTCTGCCTTCACGCTGGCGACAGGCGGGTCACGGCCCGCTGGGCGCCCAGCGGGTTCGGGGGAGTGCGCCGTGGCAGTGGGCAGGCCTCACGGAGCCGGCTGGCGGGCACGTGGGGCGGGCCTGGCTTCCGGGGGTGGTGGGGACTCGAGGTGGGGAACAGCCCAGGGGGCGGGTTGCGGTGGGAGAACAAGAAGGAGCCAGAGGTGGCAGGCGCGGCCAGGGCTTGGGGAGGACCCGGCCCGGGGAGGCGCAGGGAGCAGCGCGGGCGGCCTCCGACCGGCCCGAGTGCGGTGAGGGGTGAGCTGCATCCTCGGCATGGCGCGCTGCCCCTGACCGACCGGCCGGCCGGCCGGATGGACTTACTTTCCCACCTAACGCTACATTCTGGGAAGCGGGCAAGATCTCCCGGGGAGGAAGCGGCGGGGTGCGGGGATGGAGTCTTTCCCCTCAGGGTTCTCTCCGTATGAAAATTTCATAAGCTCTTCGAATCTCATCATGTGGAATTCTTTATTGCTTCTTTTATTTCTGTCAGGGGATACTTTTTTCATTTATATTTTTAAGTAAAATATGTGCTTAATTGGAACAAACTTTTCCCAGAATCTTGCGAGTTTCTTTTCCGAGCTGGGGGCTCTTGGTGGGCACCGCTTTGGGGGTATGTGGCCAGCAGGTGCTCTTCCAGGCACGGCTGCCACCCCATTCCAAGGGAGCTGCTTGGGGTATGTGGTATGTGGGGCACCACCTTGACTCAGGACTCTCCCACCTCTGAGGAATGACGCGTGGAAGCGCCTTCCTGGGCGTGAAATGTGCTGGTGGCAGCCGGCCCACTGCAGGCGTGCTGCCGTGCTCGGCAGAGCGGTGGCGGCCAGGGCCTCCTGGCCGTGAGGGTCCCCCTCGCTGGGACGGGCCACCCTGCAGCCTGCCCACCCTGGGGCGGCGCCTGCCCCGGCAGGTGGGAGCGCCTTCCTTTCCAGTCTGCTCCCGACCTGCGCAGTGGCCCTGCTGGCGTGGGGCCGGGCCGGGCCGGGGCGGGGGTTGGCAAGGGGGGTGTGGGCAGCCCCGGTTGTTTCCCCTGCACCTGCAGCTGTCTACCTGGAATCTCCATACCTTCATTTCAGCCTTCTCTGCCTGCTCTTTAAGCGCCACAGGTGATGGGCATCACTTCGTTCTCCTTCCCCCAACCTGGCCTCTGGTGTCTAAGCCACGTAACTCTTAAATGTTGGTTGAGACGCCTCTGTCAGAACTCTGGGTTCTAAAGTGAGGAGGGCCTGGCTGGCTCTGGCGTGCCCCAGAGCGACCTCCTGCCCACTGGCTTTGGCAGGTGCTCCCGCATGTGTTTCTCTCCCGTTCGGAAGAGGCGCTCCATCCCTGCAGGCCGCTGTGTCCTGCCGGCTCAGCCCAGTTCCCTCAGCACTTCCGTCCCCTCCGACACTGGGGTTGTCTGTTCCCGTGGGCACGTTGAAGGATGGACTCTGGCTGTGTGCTCGGGCCTTCCCTCCGCCTTCATGCGTGTGACCTGTCACCTCCTTGCAGTACACAGCGAGCCTCAAAGAAAGCTACCAGAGGAGGAAGCAAGTGCTACCCTGCACTAAGTGCTACTGCTACCAAGTGCTGGTATTGGGGAGTCACTTGTTTTTCAGCGTGCACAGAGCTGGATCTTAAGACAGCTGCTGAGGGTGTGTGGGTGGCCGGCCCTTGGAGGCGCTCGGTCTTTGTGCTTTAAATGAACCGGAGCTCTCCGAATGAGTAGGCCCTTTGTGTGGTATTTTAAACTCTCCTCTGGCTCCTTTTTTGACGCTGTGCTAAGTTCAGTGGACAGCAGTCCCATGCACACCCCACGCTCTCCTGATTTGGGGTAATTGATGCCGGAGCCGGGCGCCTCTCCCGTCCAGCTGGGAAGACGAGCCTCCGCTAGATGAATGCATACTGCTGGCAGGGGTGAGCCGCAGACGGCATGCGTACGCTTCCCAAGAGCATCGAGCCTTTTCAGGTGCCGCGGTGTGTAGGCGTCCTGCTTAACTCTCTCCACGCCGTTTCTATTAAGCCGTAGAGGCGAGGCAGATTCCTCCAGCTGGGAGATTCTGAGTTCTTGCCCGTGTCGTGCGAGCCAGATTGTCAGCGTCCTTTGCCTTTCACCTTTCGAAAATTTAGCGTGCGTGGTCTGGGGCTTTTGCTCCGCTTTGCCCACAGCCCGGGGTTTCCTTGATGGCGGTGCCCCACGAGAGGGGGCGCCGGCGCTGTGGCTGGGGGTCCTCTGACTTTCCCCTCTGACCTGCCCGCGCTCCTGCAGCGCCTGCGTCGCGGAAGGGCGCCCGTGAGTCCTTCCTGGCGCCCTGGCCGCTGAGCCGGCCGTCTGGTGGGCGCTGGGCTGCTGAGCGCCATTGTTTATGTATTCTGCGTTTGAGTCGGGACTTTGCTACCCAATCATTTAATGTTTTCTAAATGACACCTCTGGTCTTTTGTTTGTCGGAGCGAGATGGAGCCATCTAGCCTGCAATTTGTTCTCTGCTCTCTCGCCCTGCCAGTGTCTACTCATTAACTCATAATTGTTTCCCTGACCTCCTCGAGCCTGACGAGACCCGCGCTCCGCCCGTGACCTCCCCCCCCGCCCCGGCAGCCACAGGAGATGGCCGCCTCCGCGGATGACCTCTGCCATCCCCAGTCAGATGTCCCGGAACCCCCGGTGCTGTCTTTGGCAAAACAAACATTATTTTCAGAGAACTTAAACCCCATCCATTTATATTTCCCTTTGCTGGGAGCTGCGCCTGCCCTGGGCACGCGGCATCCGCCCCTGGGGAGAAGGGGCCGCGCTCTGTGGGGGCGCCCCGGGAGCTGAGTGCGGCTGGTTTACTTGGGCTAACTGCCCACGGGCAGGAGGCCTCGGCCTGGCCTGTCCAGCCCCCGCCTCCGTGCCGCCCACAGCACCTCCCGGCGGCCTTCTCCCCACTGTCCGCTGCCGCCGCCCAGTGGGGTCTCTGCAGTGGGACCTGGAGCTCTGGGGTTGCGTCCCCTGTGCCGCGGGCCTCAGGGCCCGGGAAGAGCGCCTGGCTCCGGGACTCGCCCCTGGGAGCCCCTGAGACAGCCCCTCTGCTGAGGCGTGACTGGCGCTTTGCACTGGCAGCTCTTTTCAGCTTTGGGCGGGAAGTTTGGGAGATGGACACACCCCGCTGCCCACAAGCCGGAGGGGACCCAGGCCCCGAGGTCCCGTGCGCCCCGGCGCCGCCGGCCCACGTGTTGGGCCTTCCCGGGGAGGCCTTCTGCAGAGCACGGCCCAGGGCCCGGGCTCGGGGCCGCCGCGGTACCCGCCCGAGCTGCAGGCGCCTCTGGAGAGGGAGACGCCCCACCAAGAAGCCGCGCC